CGAAGACCAAGAATATCAAACTATTCTAGAATTTTCAATTACTCACTAGTACTCATCAAATAAATATTATCTCGGTCACAAAGCGATTTGACATCTGCAAAGGTTTCCTCGTCAAATTTACATATTTAGAATCAATTTCAATCCGTTCAGAGATTCGTGTTTTGTATTCGATGAAATCTAACAATAGTTTCTGATAGAGTATTGAAAACTGGTTACAATCACTATAAATAATTGTCGAAAGTTTGATATTTCTCAATACTGGAAATGTGTTACTTTATATATAGATGTACCAATTCCTGGAGTTTCGAGTCGAATATGCTTCTAAAAGTGTAAATTGCAGATACATTTCGATTAAACTAAAACTTTTGTTTTGTATTCCATGAATTCTGACTATATCTTTGGATAGACCAAAAGAAGTAGAGTAAGGCTTATACAGAGAATCGATAGGAACTTACATTGTCTATACAGAACAAAGATCATCTTTGGCATGGTGTTCCAGAAAAATTAGTGCATGCCTATCATAAAGTTTAAAATCGAAAATTAGAAAAATATTTCGTTGAACATAAATTTTATTACAAAATAAAAAAGATATAATAATTGTGATGGTGAATATTGAATGACTGCTATAGCTATTTTAAGAAACAAAAGTTATGAGACAAAAACATTTCATCTATTTCAAATTCACAAATGCGGTAATGCAATGATATTCTTCCACATATACCAAAAACAATAATACAATATGTAACAGTTAAACTTAACTCGTTTCAACAATTACGAGCAGCCTTCTCAACTCGAAAATTGCTTTCGTGTTTGAACTCTCCGCATCAGATAGATCCCAATGGGATATTAACAACACTAAAAGGATAAAGGCATCTAAGCCTTTCATACAAAGTTATAGCAGTTTTACTGAAATTTTAGCCTATAGCATGATATGTACAATAGAATTGAATGATAATATTTCGATCTGAAATTTTGCTCATAGATTGACCTACTTGTAACTAGAATATCCTGAAAAATTTCAGTTCAAAAGAATGTTCCCTTCAGGAGATGTGGAACTTCCAAAAATATGAAATTTTCGAATCTTTCTTTGAATATAAATAATTTTTGAGAGTTCAACATCTCGTGAAGAGAACATTCTTTTGAACTGATATTTTCAGGACATGCTATTTCAAGTAGACTTATCTATGGACAATATTTCAAGTCAAAATATTGTCATCCAATTTTTTTGTACATACCTTGGTGCAGGCTAAAATTTCAGTAAAACATCTATAACTCTGTAGAGAACATCTAGATATTCTCATCCTTTTGGGATTTCTAATACTTCATTGAGATCTAACTTCTACACAAAGTCGAAATTCAAAAGTGATTTTCGAGCTAGAAAAGTTCAATTGAATTTCTCAATTCACATAAAATATAAATAACGAAGTTAATAATTGTATCAGCAAGTAGAAAAATAATAGTCGTTAAAAAAGTTGATCAACAAAAAAAATTTATTAAATAAATATTCTTAACTTTCTGTTTATATATTTAGTTTGTTCATTTATTTTTTTTATTGGTATGCAATCAAGAGCCATCAGCAATAGTACAACATGTTCAGCATGTTTCGTAACAACTTATATCAGAAGTATATAAAGATGAATATGTTTTTTCAAGCAAATATGCCCAATAGAAGAAAAGAAAAAGAATTCATGTACTAAATATAAGAAAAATGAAGCTTTATCGTTCGAGTTCTCCTCAAATTCGATCGTAAAGAATTCTTTAACGTTGATGAAGTTAGTAGAAAAAAAATCATTTGTTTATATCAGATAAAAATTTTTTTGATTTTTTTTTTTTACATAATATATCACAATTGTAAGATGAATAAAGCAGCCTTTTTAAACATCAGCTAATTTTTCACCAAGTAGTTGTTCTTTAAAATGTAAACAGTCAAAAAAAAAAAGTCAGTTAAGTCAACATTAATACAAACATTACTTGTTAAAGACATTTAAAAATCGATACTCGAACAACATCAATTAAATCTTTTATTAAAAAGCAATAACTGTAAACATAAATTCAGCAATATTACCCAAAAACAACGCAATAATAGAAGCTTTAATAAAACTACTATAATAACATAGTTAAACATTTAATAGTTTCAGTTGAAAAATCAGAAAAATGCAATCGGACATTAAAAAAAAAAAGAACAGATAGACCAACAATTATTTAATTTTTGACAGATATAAAAAATAGAATTGAATATTGATGAATCAATAATGAATTCGTAATTTTGTATCATAGAGTCGCTATTTTTTTAATATTCGTTTTGAATTTCTTTCAATAAAAATAGGTTTATTAAGGAAAGAAACCTTCTTGAGTATCTTTTGAAGAGTTCAATGTCAGAACAAAATTGAATAGATAATCAAATCAATGTCATTAAGATTAATGATATCTTTACTATGTTAAATAAACAAGAAAAACTCAATACAAGTAAATAATTGTAATATAATTTCAATATCAACAAAATTAAATTTCGAAATATTTTGTAGATCGACATCAATAGATTATATCAACATTACTAATCGAATACAAATGATATGTTTTCATGAAATAATTTAATACCAATTCAAAAAAAATAGAATGTTTGTTTCATTTAAATAGTTTTAATTATTTAATTCTATTAAAGAAAAACTAACATTATGAAAGGTATTGATCAATTGTTGTGGACATAATCATAATTGCAAATGTTCGACATTCGTTTCATTACTCTTCAACGCCTCTTTCTGTCTCTCCCTCTTTTTTTCCCTTTTGTTTGGTTTTTATTTCTTTCGTCTCTCTTTCATCTACTTTAGTTTTTTATCGCCATATGTACACTTTCTCGTTTTTTTTTTTTTTGTCGTTCGATTTGATGTGTCTTCTTTTACATCTATAGTCTTTGCCGCCCCTATTATTTACAGACGATAGGGTGGCTATACAAGTAAACAGGAAAAACGCCGCGTTGTTATACTCAATACTGATAACGATATATATTGCAATCGAAAAAAAGTATTTTATTGTGTCAGCCGCCTATATATGCATTGAATGACATCACATATGCTTATAACAAGTTCAAATAATTGTGATAATGATCATCTGATTTCTTTTTTTTTTTTGTTTTTTAAAAGAGAGAATGAATTGTTTGATTTTGTATATGTGTGTATGTTTGAATCTTTTCTTTGCAAATAGAAAGAGCAAGCAAAGCTCTAATATAATGTCAATGTATAGACACATCACCCGACGACATCATTCATTTGCTTGCATTTAAAATCGATGTGTTGTAATGAGGTGAATTAGGACTATTTATTAGGTAATTGTATTACATATATTATCTTTCAAAACTATTTATTTTATGATCGATTTTGATAAAAGAAAAAAAGGAAAAAAAAAAAATTTTTTTTCTCTTATCAATTAAATTAAATCATAGTATTCTCTCGTTTTTTTTTCTCTTATCGTCCAATATAAATTTTAACTAGCAGAACGATTGTGTATATGTGTGTGTGTGTGTGTGCGCACGCGCAACGGATGACAAGTTCTCAAATAACTCACTCATATTTTTTCTCGTTCTTCATTCGTTTGATAAAAGTAATTATTGGCACAACAAACTTTTGATAAAAATAAACAGAGAGTGAGGATTTACGGAATATGCGCGTGCGCTCTTAAACATTCGAAATTTGATCACAGTCGTCATCAACGGATTACACTTCTCTTCATCATTCATATTCTTAACTCAAAATATTTAAATGACGACGACGATGAAGGAGAAAGAGGGAGTAAACACGCATAAGCACACACACAGGAGAGACGCCATCTGCCTTTTTCAAACAGCATCAGCACAAAGAGAACAAGAGAGAACAATTTACACAAAGCTTTATCAAACAGAGAGAAGAAAAAAAGGTGGATATTTCTATAAAAATCTTGTTGAATTGGTAAAGAATAAAAAATGAGAAAGAGAGAATAAAGAGGAAGAGAGATATCGCTCTTTTCTATATGTATTCGATTGAAGTGACAATAATACCGAGCAACAAAAAAGACGACGATAGCAGTATTCGATTAGTAAATAATCAACAAAGGTATGTTATTTGAAAACTTTTCCGTTTGTTATTTTAAACTGAACTTCTTTGATAAGTATCATCGTGCTGAATTTTTTAATAAAAAAAAAAGAAGCAAAGACGATGTATTGGATAATGTTTGCACATGCCTACTATATATGTCATTGGAAATAAACACTACCTGATGGTCTACTTTTCCATATATGAGAATGTTGTATATTCGTTTCATCACGATTTATAAATAAATAAGCAAAAACTATTTTCCTTTTTACTTGTAAATTCTTTTTTTAAAAAATAAGAACTAAATTTTATTAACATTTATAAATCTGATGATATTATGTAAACATCTTTCATAAATATATTAGTCAAACGCATTCAACAGTTATCGTCTTCAAGAGTTTGTTTACTCATTTTTATTACTTATTCTACTTCTTCTTCGTCACCTAATTCGTACTAATTCAAAGGTAAAATATTTCGTTAGATGATGTTTATTAACAATTGTTCAATATTTACTTATATAAACATTGACAGATTTGTTTATTCGCATTATCGTTTAAAAATTGCGTTCTCTCTCTCTTTCTCTCTTGAGTGCATTTGCGATTCAAAATTTTTACATGCTTTGAAATCGATCTATTACATAGAAGAAAAGAACTAAACTTGTATATATCGATATAAATCAGCAAGAGTCTCAATTGTAAGTAGGAAAGAAAGAGAAGAAAGCGTCAGGTCTTGTTTGCTAAACTGAGTAAACAAAACACGCACATGAATATAATAAAAAAAAAAATAGGGTCGTATATAGAGTGGCAGAGGTAGTAGATTATAGTAGTACAAAAAAAAAAAACGAGAAGAAGGCGGAGAACATACGATATTACTCATTTATAGTTTGTATACATTGAAATTGATTATTAACAAAAGTAAGATATATTCTAGATCATTATGATAAATCAAAGTATAACAGATGATGAAGATGCAAATGATAATGGTAATGAAGTACTTGATTTAAGTATGAAAAAAAGTTTATCTGTATTACTTTCACCACCATCATCAACAACATCTTCTTCTTGTTCTTCTTTATCATCAGTTATTTCACCAAAAAATGGCAAACGAATGTTAGATTTAAATACATCTATTTCATCATCATCATCATCATCAATAACAACAACTAAAGGTCAACAAACAAATAAACGTCCATTACGTTTTCAATGTAAACATTGTGATTATAAAGCACCATCAACATCATTAATGCAAAATCATATTTATCGTCATACAGATTTAACACCATATGCATGTGCATATTGTGGTCATAAATCGACAACAAAATCAACAATTATGGTACATATTGAACTTTGTCATCCAAATATGGAAGTTAAAATTAATGAAAATCGTGTACGTGAACAAGATTTTTATCGTGATTTAAATAGTTCTGATATAAATAAAATTCAAGAACCACAAATTAAAAAACAACGTCATTCAAATCAATATGATAACGAATCAACACCAATAAATGGTGTAGCTATATCATTAAAAACAATAATTGATGATGGAAATGAATTATCACCTGAAAGTGATGATATATATGGAACAGATAATTTTGAATGTATGCTTTTACCAACATCAGATATTCTTGATGATGATAATAATAATAATAATAATGAACAATTAACAGAATCAAATGTTTTTGGATCATCATCATCACTTAAATTAAAATTTTCACCACTACCACCACCATCAACTCCTATCATTGATTCTTCATCAAAATCTATTACAAAAGAATCAGATTCTGATGGTTAGAATATTTATTTTTCAATAGAAAAAAATTTTTCAAATATATTTATTTAGATGATTCAGAATATCTTCTTGTTTACAATCGTCCTAAACAGTATTATGGTTCACTATATGAACCTGATAAACAGTAAGTAAAAATAATTCTTTTTTGAATTTTTATAAGTCTTCATTATTAATATAACATTTTATTAAATAAACAGGTATGCATGTAAATTATGTACATATACAACAAATCATCGACCAAGTATGGAAGATCACGTATTTGTACATACCAATGAAAAGCCATACAAGTGAGTTACTTTGATCTTTTTTTTCTTTCAGACGATTGACTATCGTTTTGTTCTTGAGTTTATTTTCTTAAAATAAATACAAATATCCGGCTCCATTTGTTCATTTATTAGTTATATTTTATAAAAGAAAATTGTTTGATCTAACAGAGGAAATCAGTTATGTACATAGAAAGATAAATATAAATGGCACGTGTATGTGAAATTCTATTACAAAAAAAAAAAA